TGAAAAGGAGTGGAGAGAGAACCGAACCCTGCGGCACCCCACAGAGGAGGGGCCGAGGATGGGACCTCTTGTTCCCTATCATCACCGACTGGGACCGGCCCCGAAGAAAGGAGGTAAACCAGGACAGAACTGTGCCACCCACCCCCAAATCCCTGAGCTGTCCCAACAGGATACTGTGGTTGACGGTATCGAAAGCTGCTGAGAGATCAAGGAGAGCAAGGATGGTCGCACTTCCACCATCCCGCTCCTGCCAGAGATCATCCATAAGTGTGACCAATGCAGTTTCCGTCCCATAACCGGGCCTGAAACCTGACTGATAAGGGTCCAGATAATCCGTTTCCTCCAGGACCCTTTGGAGTTGTAATGCCACCACTTTCTCAACCACCTTCCCCAAGAAGGGGAGGGGGGAGACTGGGCGAAAAATTTCCAGTACTGGAGGATCCAGGGAGGGCATCTTGAGGAGGGGGTGCACCAACGCCTCTTTAAAGGGTGCTGGAAACACTCCCTCCTGCAAGGATATATTAACTATCACCTGGATCCAACCACATGTCACCTCCCGAGCTGCTTTCACCACCCGGGAGGGACATGGGTCCAGATGACAAGTGGTGGCCCTCACAGTCTGGAGGATCCTGTCCACTTCCTCCGGAACAACAGGATCAAACCGTTTCCAGATAACTGGGCAAGAACAATCCCCTGGTATCTCCCCAGACCCTGCACCACGCTCGGAGTCCAACTTGGAACGAATCTGCACGATTTTATCCTGGAGGTGCTCTGAAAATTCCTCCATGTGGCCCTGCAAATGAATCTCCAGCTCTCTTCTACCAAGGAGGGATCTAGTGATCCCAAACAGGGCCGCCAGGCGGCACTCTGCAGATGCGATAAGGGCAGAGAAGTATTGGCGCTTTGCCGCTCTTATCGCCACAATGTAGGGCTTAATAGTGGCTCCAACATGTGTTAGGTCGGATTCGGTCTGTGTCTTCCTCCAGCAGCGCTCTAGACATCTCTTAACCCTCTTCAGCATCCTCAACTCCTCCGTAAACCATGGGGAGTGTCAGGGCCGATGTGGCAAGAGAGGTCGCATAGACGCAATCCTGTCCAAGGCCCCAGCTGCCTCCCTATTCCAAGCAGCAGCCAGGGCCTCTGCTGGACCGTGCAGCAGGTCCACAGGAATGCTCCCCAGCTCCCTCTGGAACCCCATCAGGCACCGGGGGCGGACCAATTGCATGGGTCCTGCCTCCCTGCGGAGCGGGGTGGCATAGAAGAAACTGAGGGTCACCAGGGCGTGATCTGACCATGACAGTGGGGAAAGCTGTACATCTCCCCTCAGAT